GACCTGCAAAGAACCTGCAAACTCTGCATTTTTTGTTGTGTGTGTGTTAAAGGTTTTTAATCTGTTTTCCTTGCTGTAGGTAAAATCTGCTTTTGGGTCTTGTGCTTCCAAAAGGATTTATGGGGTTTTGATACTTTAAAACAATTTTGCATTAAAATGGGTTTGCTTTTTCACAAGCATCTTTACAATAATCACACTACATAGAAAATTAAACCTTATTAAACCAAGTAGCATCTCAAGAACAAAAACTTTATTGGGACATCCCTGGAGGCACCATCTCCCAGTAGCAAGAGAAGTCAACAGGAGCTTTGTGCCAGAGCATTAGCAGATGGATGTTTGCTCCTATTAACTAGTTTGGCTGCCTCACTACAGTTCCTGCTTCATGAAATGATCTTTCAAGAACAGAAACTACCATGAAAAAGTGTTACTGACAGCTACAGACTGATTTACGTTGTCAATATGCTGAAAACTACAAATGAAAGGATAGTAAAGTCTATAGACTTCAGTGAAAAGGATTTTATCTGTATTAGTGCCACTGGTTTATAGTTCCTGAAGACCTGAGATAGTGTTGATGAAAGAGGATTGTTGTAAATGCCTCACATTTCTCATCAAACCTGTCTTCTATTGAATCCAAAAAATGCTGGTCATGGCACTAACAACTCTCCCATATAAAACTAGCCAATCAAGCTGTAGCCCAGAGCTGCTTTTACAGGAGGGGCCTAACAAAATGAGATGGGGATTTAAAATGAACACTTAATACACTAAGCATCATCTCTGGCTGAATGGTACTGAAACACTTTATTCATGTTTATTGTCCAGTACGTGACCAGTGGAGGCCTGTTAGCGCTGAATAGGACTGAATACATAGGACTGAATTGCTTAAACATGTAAATAGACACTAGGAAAATGGAAATCACAGTGGAACCTAGAGGAAAATAATGTCCTTTTATCGCTTATGTTACTGCATCCTATTAGTGGAAAATCCGTAAACAGCATGTAAGCTCTGCAGCATTACTACTTAGCTATTAACAGCAGAGGGTCAACCATGGAAAAGTAAGCAATTACATGCCACATACACTTATGCGATCACATCTCCAAAAAGGGAAAATAAATGTTTGCACTTATGCTAGATTTGAGAAGGACATGCCTTTTAAAAAAATTTGTATCGTTAACCTTCAGCAAGATTGTAGATTGCTTGCCTGTCACCATGAGCAGAAAGTCACAGGATCAGTGGTAGATGACTGGGATGGATGACTTCTGTATACAAACATTTAAAAATGCTTTTACAATGAAACAGAAATTATATAACTAGTTTTAAACAAGCAATATAGTGCTTTTGATAGTTTTTTTTTAAAAAAACACCCCATTTTACAGTTTTTAGCTTCTTCCCAACTTGCCTATTACTACCATTTCCTAAATGGCAGTTGTAGCCAATACCTAGATTCAGGTCAACACACAATTTATAAACTGGAATGGAAGCTGTTCCCTGTATCCCTGACCATGGCAATAATCCCAGCTCTGACTGAGGAGCTCTCCACACTGGGAAAGCATATACCTCTTTCTCTCAGTGTCTTCAGGGTACGATTCCTTCAGCAGATGTGTTAAAAGAGGAGAAAAGAGACTACAGCAGTTTTAAATGGAATTTAGGATGTGGGTGGTTTTGCTGTTTCATGTATAACCATGTGATGCACATGAGGATGTGGAACATCCCACTAACTCAACGTTGGGAAGGAAGAAAAGTTAATACTAAAACAGATCCTTTCAGTAATTTCAAAAATGAGCCCATTACACTGAAGAGTTGCAGCTGAGTTTTTAGCACTGCTCCAAAAATCTCAACTGGGAAATAGCATTTACTTTTTGTTGTTTTAGGCAGCCACCTAATGGTGAGGAACAACCTTTTAAGTTCAGCCCAATGGCTGTCCTCCCTTTAGAGCTGCTGCATATTCAGTAACTCAACAGAGTTCGAATTACCCAGGACTAGCATCAGCTAACCCAGGTTCCTGCAAGAAGCAAACCTTTCCTTCCCCTTCCCAGAGCACCTTCTGAACAACTCTTGTTCCAGCTCCACCGCACTAACAGGCTAACACATTGAGCTGCTCTACTTTTGCATCTCTGGTATACTTCTAGCATTGGGACTATTTTTTTTTTTTTTTTTTTTTTTTTTATTTTTTTACAGAATTGAACTGCATGACCTGGATCAGCACTAACAGGCCTAGCTCACCAACTGCTTAGGACATCTTTATCCTAGAGCCTCATTCTTGTAGATTACTGAAGCTTACTAATTACTACTTGTTTTACCTACCACAGTTCATAGAGCAATCTAAACAGAACAAATGCAGGTTTGTTGCAGATTCTTCCCTCTTTCTTTTGATATGGATCAACACAGTCAGTGCTCCTTCACTCAGCCCAGGCTTTCTCCCATTACCAGTAAAGAATATTTCCTGTAAATTACTTCCCTAATAGACAGATTCTAATTCTCTCTTTCCTCCCCCTGGGGATTTTTTTATTTCTTTCTTGTGAACCTTTGGGGAAAAAAAAAATAATAAAAAAAAATCAGTGCTTTTGATTTGACTATCTTCTCTCATTAAACAAGAAATAGATTTGTTAATCTTATTCAAATGCCAGTAAGCCTACCACACTCACTCCCCAGGACACACTCACGGAAAAACAAAATTAAATTTCTGACCATCCTCCATAGTGAGCTATCCCAGGCAAACAAGTAGAAAACGTTAATATAAAACGCTCAGTGAAAATGCAACCAGCAATATCGCAAAGTACACAATTTTAATCTGCGCCATTTTAATCAGTTTTGACTCACTTGTTTCTTAAGCAGAGGACAAGGGTATCTGCAGTTTAGTTATCCGAGAGCTTACAGAGCCTGCTTCCAGCACTACTTTTCCTGAAGCAACGATCTTTCATTGTCTGTCGATAGTGCTTTGTGGTCTTTCTGTATGAACTAATCTACCTGTATTAAGCCATACCCTGTGGACAACCTGTATTTCTGGAATCCATTTCTCCAGTTGTTCATTCTGCATTTGCTTATCTGCATCTGGTGGTACCTCACAGATCATGCCTTCAAGAAAACTCTCCCTAAATTTAGGATAGCCTGTTTATGAGTCATTACATCTTCATGCAAATTCCACATTTCAGCCAGCATTATTTATTAGCTCATTTTTTCATGGATGTAGAATTTCTGCTATGTAACAATCCAATTTTCCTGTGTTTGACATATTTTGACATGTATGTTTTTTATTTTCTTCTCAGCAATGAAATAAAGAACCCCCAGTTGGCAGCCACATCCTTAACCTTAATTTTTCAAAGAAAATGGCAACTAATCACTAGGTAAGACTGCTGATCTGGAACTCAGTGGCACGTCCTGCACGTTGTACTTCCTTCCTTCCTTCCAGAAAAGGTCCTCTCCAGTGTAACTTTCCTTTCTTCAGCTGTGTGGTCACACCATGAACAGCAGCAACTGTTCCTTCTGTTCTCAAGGGAGGAGGTAAGAGGAAGAAATGCATCTCATTTTCCAGTGCAACAGAAGGGCTGTAAGGAAATGAAAGGAACTACAAGTCATTCATTTTTAAACAGATATCACAAGGCTTCAGTGTTAGGTCTTAATCTGGGCCTTTAACCACTGAGAAAGGCAAGTAGTAGCGATGGCCTAGAACCAATGACCTCTTCCCACACTTCTTTGATCAAGCATTAGCATGATCTACTTTATCAGCAAGGACCAGGTTTTTTGACTGAAACCAAGATGACACATTTAATTTATCCATCACTCTTCTCCCATATGTTCAAGTCTTCTGTAGGCTGTTCCCTATCAATTAAAGAGGCACTGGACTAGCAGCCCTCTCTTACAAAAGGTCACAGCAATTGCGTATTCTTACCCTGACTGGACGCCATGTGAAAAAAACACTTCAGTCTTTCTGGTCTAAGTTTTTTTGAGATAAGGCAGGCCAATGATGTAAACAATTAGATACTATCCCCTAACTGCTTAGTAGTTGAAATCAGACTCATAAAACAGCTCTTACGAAATAATAGCTCTATGAAAGAGCAATCTTGTTTCTATCAGGACATGCAAGCCCAATCAGAAGGATGTGATGCTCTTTATTGAAAAATTTCAACTTTTCTGTGGCGGGCAGGACACACATACATAAAAATCACATTTCCATTTGTGATTCTAAACACGGAACTTTGAAAAAAAATCTTACCAGTAACTGTCTTCCCACTTGTATATTACCCTTCTAGCAAACTGGACAGTTTGTACAAAAATATCAAGAAAAACATTATTTTCTACTATTTTAGTGTAATCGTGGGTTGAAGTCTTGCCAACTGCCACCATATAACCCTTAATTCCTCTCTAAATTTTAAGAATAGCTACCACCAAAAGATCAAATCCTTTCCATAAAAGCAAGAATGATTACAGAACCTTTAATTAAAAAAAACAACAACACACTTTTTTGTCAACATGTAATGCCCTGGGTTTATTTTGTGAGAGTTCTGTCACAATTTTTTCCAGGTGGGATTAAAAACCTTAAGGATAATGTATGCCATTGGAGTGGGCATTCAGACTTCGGTACTGACAAAGCACTAATAGTAGTCTGTTAAGTACCATTCTCTTCACAGAAGAGAGGTCAATTATTTCCAAAGGAAGGCACCCGATAGTTGTGGTTCTGGCCTTGCAGCCTTCTGGAGAATCTTAAAAGGAAAAAAGCTGGCTGTTTTAGAAACTGGAATGATGATACACGTACAGCAATTACTGCATTCTTCTCCCTTATATCCTTTTTCTTAAGAACAAGTAAAGAATGAAGTCTTAAAAACACTTATACAATAAAAAAATACAATGTCTTCAAAAAGGGCAAGACAACATAAAAACTCCAGTTGTAAGGACTCCATTTGCATACTAACACTTTTTGGTGTGCAAGGAAATGGGACTAACGAGGGGAGCAGCAACATAACCTTAGTGCTTTAAGTACCAGAAACCGCCCACATGCCTGTGGACAAGCTAGGATGGGAGAATTCAGACTTCATTATTAGCTTGTTACTTGTCTTACAATACTCAAACAGGAAGATCCCCATTAAACAGTACATTCCCCATTTTTAAACTGATGCCTTTTTAAAAAATTCTGTATGTATGTCACCATTTTTCACATGATACACAGAAAACTCAGGGACCCAGAGGGGAACCAAGTTATGTTATACCATTTACAAAATACCAAGGAGTCCACAGCTACCTAACACATTTACTACAGCACAGGAACCAATGAAGGTACAGTGTACAAAAAACTGTAAACACGGCACAATAAATAGATAAAACAGCAGGTTCCGCACCATGCACAGGATGTGATGACACTTTTTCATCTCTATACAATCTCACATCTCACACTCTTACTTTGTTGCAGTTTGTTTCCCTCCCTCCCCCCACCCCAAGTGCAAAGCATCACAAATGAACAGTTCTGTATTCAAGTAACATATATACAAGGGTATTACAAATATGCAGTACTGTACAGATAATTGCTGTATTGTTAATTTACAGATGTTGATTCTCTCCTATTAACAGTAAGAAAAGAAAAACCAAAGCATGAGAGATGTGCATTGCTGTCAAGTCCCCACAGCTGCCATGGAAACGCAATGTGCGGCATTCCATCATCCCTTGCATTCAAAATGCTACTGATGCATAGCACCTAAACAAGTTCCCAAGGCTGCAGTTTCACTCCTACAGAAACTACGTCACCTCCATTGCTACTGTATTGTCCGCTATATTGTTCAGTGCTGGCTTCTCCGTTTCATGGTTTTCCCTGTTGAAATAATAATAAGAGAATTAACAGGACTGGAAAAGATAGCAAAAACTATCCCACAGACAACTGCTCCTCAGTAATGGAGAGCTGTTAAGATGTAGCAAAAGCCTTAAATGGAAAAGCAAAAAGACCTAGACGTGAAATAACACTCATCTTACGCTTCCATATTTATTGTGTGCTTAACTCCCAGCAATGACTACTCTGAATGCTTGCCATGCTGCAAAACCTCCCCATAAACCACCACGTCATACATAGGAAGCAAAAAAGGGCGTTCTAAGCATCAAAATTCGTGATGATTTGTGAAAAATATGCAATAAAAGAAGTGGCTGATTAACTCACTAGTTACAAAATCTGGAGTTACCTAAGGAAACACTGAACTGACTTCCTATTTTTATTTATCTTCCAGCCAAATATCTTTAAACTAATGAAGACAACAGAATTTAAAATAGTAATTTAGAAATTAACATGGTTATTCTATCTAAAGAATGTAACAAATACCCTTCTCAGATTTTGAGATACACAAAATATAATCCATCCTCTGAAGTCTGCAGTGTTCAAATTACAGAAACATCTTTGAACTCAGCTGGACCAGCTCTACCCTCCATTCATTCCTTCATTCCTGGCACACTTTTAAGGAGACACACACATTTAATTTTGAATAGTCCAGCCTTCACACAGAATGTAAGAGCCAAAAAATGTACTCAACAGTGGAGAATTTTTATACACCATAGTATTAAGAGATCATAAATTTCACTTCTGAGCTAACATTTACCTTTGATCTGGTTGCTAGCAGAACATCCTGGAAAACTATCAGTGTAAAAGTCTGTCTGTTGTATTCCTCCCCAAGTATCCCTTTTTGACCACCATTACACACAATGTTAATTTAAGCCAGCCTGATCCAATACAACTGCTTCTTATTTGCCATAAAGCTATTTATTAAGCAAAATAAAGACTGGAAAACAAGAAGATATAAAAAAACCTACCTTGGTACTGCATCCACAGAGGATGAAGCTGGAACCTTGGGCACCTGACAATTCGTTGCTGCAGCCAGCTTTAAGGCAGATGATGGAACAGCACTTAAAGTCCTAGGTATATGTCGTGCATTGAGTGTGGTAATAGAGTTTACAGTGGCAACTGATGAGGGTACAGTTAATCGAATGTTGTTCCCAATCAGAACCTGAGTTGTTGCAGAATTGGCAGCAGTTACTTGGTGACTCAGTGCACTGTGGGAACTTGAAGTCTGCGTTATATTTGAAGGCTGTAACAAGGCTGAACCTGCTGTTGATGATGAACTTGTATGGACAAGTGCTGTAGGTGTAGTACTACTGAGGTGTAAGCCCTTGTACACTCCTGCAAAAGAAAATCAAAACAGTAAGCTCATTTTTCAGAAAATACTCAACTCCAGACAGACATATCTCCACTGTAAAAATCAAGACACAGCAAAATTCTGTCAAACAGCTGCATACCTGAGGCTTGAAGAATGCCATTCACCCCAATTCCAAGCACCACATCATCCTTCATTTTGAATCCCATCAGTTGATCTGATGTAACCAAAGCTGAAGCAGCAAATTGAGCACTAACAGAATCCAGTGTCTTGGAAACAAAACCCTACAAAGAACAACGGTGGCAAATATACATGAGTGAAGCTTCCAGAAGTCAGTACTCTTCCCATTTTAAAGCTATACACAGACTAGTACAATGTAAATGTAAATCAGAACATACATGTAAATCAGAACGGTGGCCCACTCATTCTCCCAGAACAAATTGTCAGCATTTTGTACAACTAGTTAAAATCTGAACTGTGGTTTGGGCTTTTTTCTCCATGCACTTTTAGATCCATTATATCAACGGAGAAGAAAATCCCCATAATTATTTACAATACAAAGAAACTTATTTCCAAAGTTCTACGGAACAACATTGTTTCACAGGTCAACTTGTTTTCATGAAATTCCAAACCCAATTCAGAGACTCAGAGGTTCAGATTGCAAACAAGTTTTGAGCCTTTTATGTGTCCATCACCACTGTAATCACTACATTTATGAATATTAGACAGCTGTATGGGAGACTCAGCAGTATGAGACCTCCGTTCCACAGCTGTATGGGAGGACATATTTCGGAATTAGTTTTAGTTATTAGCTAAAAATCCTGCTCTAAAAATCCCCCACTATCAAGAGGATAATGACATCGCTGGAGATTTCTGCAATTTGTATTTCTAAGGCTTTGAAAACTTCATTAATTGACTGACCCATCTTTTTTTGTTAAGAGGGAGCAGAGGCAATGCCTGCCACACTCACCTGCAGTGTCCCTTCTAAACACTTTACAGAATGGCTATGATGTAGATTCAGGCGAAAGCCACTTTCCTGTTGGTTAGTTTCAAGGTTCTATGGCAACAGTTGACAATTAGAGATGAACCCTGGTGGGAAACAATGAGGGATAAATCATAGCACAGACAAATCCCTCACCTGTGATGTGTTGGCAGAGGAATTACTATTTGCTTGCTGTTGATGAATTTGTGCAAGCTGCTGTTTCTGCATTAGTGCCAGTTGCTGTTGATGTTGCTGGTATTGTTCGGCTGTAAATGCTGAACAAAATATAAAACGAGAAAATACTACATCAAAATATGTAGGTGCTGTGTATATAAACACATGTATTTTATAATCCTACAAAAAAAACCAAAACAAAACAAAAAACCCACAGCAAATTCCTAAGAGCCTTAATGCACCTTTATAGCAAAAAGGCTATCATCCTCCTAGAAATTTTTGTTCAAATTAAGCCATCCCTTTTTAAGCTTTTTTTTTAGTATATAGGTTCTAATTGCTCTGCTGCAATTAGCTCAAGACACCAAAAAGGGAGTCAAAACCAACAAAACCTCTTAATAACAGATTAAAAAGAAACTGCAGGTAGGGATGGCGGCATCACTGTTTCCACTTTGTAAAACTACAGTATCTGCATTATTAGTAAAGGAGGTTTATATGCAAAACTTGGTAACTGAATGCCGTCAGCCCTCACAGATAGTATTTTGAAGGTAGCAAGTACCTACAATTAAGGTTTGTTGATTTTAGTTGAAAACATTAAATTGGGCATGCTTACAAATGTGCAGGCTACCATAATACAGTATTTTTGTGGGTTTTAATCACACATGTACAAGCAACTCCATCAATACAGAATTTGCTAGAACTACATCCTTCTCCAAAATCTCTGAAAGGTGACTCAGTACTCAGTGCATCACAAGTCAACTAGAATCTTCTCCAGCTAGTCCACAAGTATAAAACTGATAAAACACAGCATTATTAGTACAGATTCACAAAGGGATGCCCCATGGCTCAGGGGTGGGGAGTCATCAGTTCATTGATTAATGTCATAAAATGTTAAGATTAATTTTTTTTTTTTAATTTACATTTTCAAGATGAAAGGAACTCTCAATTTTCAATTTAAAACTAAATCAAGGCTGGAATGTGAATCCCCTTGCAAATTCAGTCTAGGATACACCTTTCAGACTTCTTCACTTTTGTCTTCAGATTGTACAGATGCTTCCAAATAAGTGCTGTAAACAGTACTCATACTTCTAGAATGCAGTGGAAGTCACACTTCTGGGGAGGTTCACTACTATTTGGCAACAAATCACCACCACACTTGTATCCTGTTCACAAATTTCAATTCTTAATTTTATCTTTTTAAAAATCTACTCCTTCAGGCTTGCTTGCCTAGAGGAAATCTTTCTATCAAAACTATAACCATCTCCTGCTTCTGAATATAACAGGATTCTGCTGAGCAATCGTACCTTATGTATAAATTTGATTAACAAGTCAACACAAATGGCTAACCAAACACTGCCAAGCATGCATTTTTCCAGTGTATTTGTGATATATGTATTTTTATGAAAAATATTGTTCCAAATCCTTCTGTTATGTACTTGAAATAGCACTGAGTTATTACCAGCACTTTGCTATCTGAGCAACTGAAACTATAAATTTTTATTCAGCTGTTATATTCAGGTTACTTTTTTTGTTGTTTAAGTAATATTCTTCAGCAAGTAGGGATGTAGCATTGGTGTATATTGCCATGACACATTACTTCCCAACACTCTCACAGTTAAATCTCATTTCACCTTGCTTCATTTATTCAATGTTTTAAACTTATTTCTAGGGAAACAGCTTAGCAGTAACATCATTCACAAATACCTTTAATTAAAAAAACCCAACTAGAATTCATAGACCAAATATTCAGGACTTGGCTGTTTAAATTTAAATTATACTTCATATAAAAGCCCTTTAGGTTTTTTTGAACTGTTACCAAACACAGTAGTTAGAGCAAGAAAGTTTTAGCACACAAAGATTAGCATGTAGAAAGGTGAGCAGCAGTAGCAGAGGGAGCAAAATGAGGTACTGTTCTGGTACTGATATTTTGTTTATATTGATCAGTTAGTAATGACTTACTAATTAAATGTTTTTTTAAAAGCCCCAGAATGTAGAATTGGTATGGTTTAGCCAACATAGTGTCAGTAATACTGAAGGGTTCTGTGTATTAGTAAGGTATCTTATTCTACAATATGACACTAAATATATTACTTAGGAATAGGTTGCATAAGTGATGTAAATAAAGACAACTTGCAGACTGAGGAAAATGGACCAAAAAAAGGTATGTTATACCACCATCTTTGACTCAGTTAAGTTTAAAACTTCCACCATCATAACCATCTCACTTCTGTCCATCTAAGTAAAATTTATTAATAGTTTCAGTTTTCAAGTGTTAAGTACATTTTAGATTTTAACTATAAAATAGTAGTAGTAAGCACAACCACCTACACTGGTTTAACCAACTGCAAAATATTGTTTTCTTCTGGAAAAATGGTAAATAAAGTTTACTGAAACAAGCTATGCTTGTTTAGGATAGCTATTATTTCGGATAGTCTTTAAGTGCTCCCCCTTCTTTCTGGAAGTGACATTGAGAACTGTTTTCAAACTCTGCATTCTTTTTAAGCAGTCTGACCCTTACAGCTGTAAGCTTTCACCACTATGAAAAGTTACACAGCTGTCAAAGTAAACAAGTGACAGAAACCCCACTATGACCAGCACCCTCATTCATATTCAAACTGCTTCTCTTAGTTCTGCTATCTAAACACACTTACAGGTAACACCTTGAAAATGCAATGGAAATGGCTATTTACCCACCATATCTGAAATACACTCAAGAACAATTTATTTCATGTTTTTCAAATTAGGTTAAAACATTCAGCAACATTTCTGCTGCTTCCCTTAAAGGTAAAAGCCTACCAGACATTTCAAAAGTCTCTTTACAACACTATCAATAGATTTACCATGAGATTGTGAATTAGTCAGTTGCATGGAGTTTAGAACACAACACTGCCCACAACGGACTACTGCAAGCCACAGCCTCCTAAAATAATCTTATTGATATTCCTTTTCCACTCCCAGCATATCCAGAAATGCTCATGTACCAGAAGAGGTTATAGATTGTAATTACATAAGCTAGCTCTTCCCCCTCCACACTGAAGCAGCACTACATTGAAGGTTTTATTGAAAGCATTACTACTACTGTAAACTACCTATATCAGAATTAATCATTATTTCTTTTGAAGACTGGCAAACTAGAACAGCATACTTTATTCCTCTTCTGTTAAAAGCCACCATGTGCTTTGTTCACTAACACTGTCACTAGGTTTCTTCCCTTCCTGCTCCCAGAATATAGTCTATCTTACACTTCAATTGAAAAAATAAGCTTATTGATTGTGAAAGCTATCAACTGTCACTTCTGAAAACCATCATTCCCATGCATAAAAAAAAATGTTTTAATAGTACTTCCACCTATTTAACCTTACATGTTCATTTTCTGTGGCACACGGCTGTAACTAGAATCAGGGAAGGCTTTTGGGGGAAATCACACATATGCTCAACACAGTGAGATCACAGCTGTGCTGTCTGTGCCTCTGTATCTGCCTGCACACTCCTAAACTTCTCAAAGAGCTAGTCTAAGGCCAACTGCCTTTTTTAAAAAAGCAATTCAACTGCATGGCAGACAGTAAAAATGTAGTCACTTATTAATGTGTTAATTACATGGCTTGCAGACCATTTTTTTTTTTTTGCCTGCAAAGCTAGCATAGATGCAATAGCACAGGTGTCCAACTTAGTATCTGTTAACATCATTTTCTCTATAAAAAGTTACAGTGTCCCTAAGAACTTTCTTTCAGTAACTTTATTACCTGTTCTAATTTTTATTCTAAAATAAGAGAAAGTGCACAGCTGAAAATCTTTCATCTGTGTCAAAGAAAAACGTAGAAGACGCTGGTCTTTATCTGCCTGGAAAAAAACAGCAGGCAAGAGGCAAGCCCAGACCCTTTCTTTACACTTAATTCATCAACCATGTCTCTGCTAACTCAGAAAAGCATAGCTACACATATTCCTGGTATTACCAGAAACCTTCAAGGCTTTAAATAAGTTAGTAAAGCATCAGACAACTGAACAACAGCTTCAAGTTAAAACACAGGGACAAAACATAACATTCAATGGTTAAAGACAACAGGTGATATTTTAAATCACATTCTTGCTTCAGCAGCGCTAGACATGAGTGCAGTATTTATAGACTCTTCTCAAAGTGTGCTAGGGCCACAGTGGTCATGGTTTCATCATACCATAATGACTATTTAATACTATAGAATTTACTGAATTGGACAGTGACAAAACATCCAATTTCATTCACTACACAGAATCCAGTGAGGGGTGGAGGTAAGAATCTCTCAACCACTGCTACTGATAACTACAAATAAGAACATTATTATTTCAGAATATCTCAACTGTCTTTCATAGCTATCAACTCTACCTTTCTCCAAGACTTCTATATACTTTCCAAGACCCTTTCAGTAATTTATGCAAGTCACCTGACTCCTTCAGTTAACCTAACCTTAAATGTTATGAACCTTAAATGTTACGAACCTTTAAGGCACAACCCTACCTGAAGTTATCCACATTTCAAGATGGTTGTCTGAAGATGGGTTGCTCAAGCTCTACTGAGATACTAGGCTACGTAAATGCTTCTTACTTGTTTGTTTGCAGCATACTAGTTTGAATCGGAACAATTAAAACTCAGTATGCTTCCAAATCAAGTTATAACATTTCAGTTGAGACAACCTTCAGGATTTTAAGTCAGTATATCGTGTTCTGCTGTTATCCTCTTCATTTAACAGCTTGGGACAATGCACACACCTCTTCAGCAACTGTGTCAGTGCTATACTTTTGGCAGCAAGTAAATGTTTTCTGGCTTACAGACTACAGAAAGGAATGGAAGGTAGAAGAAAAAGCTTCAAGGAGTTCGTAGCTATGAATACAAGGGAAGAACACTGTACATTACTGAGACTGACTGACAGGATGAATGCTTAGCATCTCCTTAGTGACAGCCACAAATCTTGTGCAATAACACAACTTCTTAACACCACACTACACTATGTTTCCCTACAATCATTTACATGGCTAAAATGATATGTAATTATTGCAAAGATTGCAAACATAGTATCTTTCAATTGGGTGATTCTGTTTACGTATCTACCAAATTTTGTGGGATGCTGAT